TTTAAGTATGCAACACCCCTCGAGTACGATTAGTTGCATCAAGGCGTCATCATCAAAGCAGTGGTCAGCACATAGTTACAGTCCACTTTATTATTCAATGCACCACAAAAGTCCTGTTTTACCATGTTGAGGATAAATGTCCGCTGTATGAACCTTTAGGTGTCACCAAATTTCATTTTTTGAATTACAAATTGATTGGGGAAGTTTTAATCATTTTTCTTCCTATGTCTCAGACAGTTCTGTTCGCAATGGAGAATTTGCACAGACAAATTTTATTGCTCCATCTGAGAGTGCTTAGTAAGCTGAGTTCGCAGTATTTTTCATAATTTTTTTCTAAAATGGAAAATCGGAGAAAAATGTGCCGCTTTGTGAGTCACAAATTGTGGCGTCATCTGGCGGCATTTTCCATTTAAACACGTGTATTTTGGCAAATTAGGTTATCCTATCATATTTCCTCGGCTAATTGTTCAATTTAGAGACCAAGGATATCCTCGTGCTTAGTTTTCTCAGCAGTCTCATTTTAAACATGGTATTTACAAAATTTCAGAGCCCTGCAAATTTTCCATTTAATTTAATATACATATCTGAAATTTCCAAGGGAATGTATGCCTGTCTTCCTCCCCAAATAAATTGTTTATCAGAGGAAATTTGGCAACATCCCAATGTTCATACGGCGTGTTTTCCTTCACGTCAGTATTGCTCTCTTTTAATGGGAATCCAATGGCCTAAGGAAAGGACAAGGATAGGGAACGCTGTCCTTAGGCAGCTGGGTTCCCGGCAGTGAAACTTAACTCTGCTGATCGAACGCAGCTTTTGATCGGCGAACCTAATGGCCGCTTAGTAATTGCTTCTTATCGAGTAGATCACATTTACACAACAGCATATCGACCGTGAAACTCTTAAACCACGCATCTCGGTTTGCAACGTTGCAAACCTCCTGTCATTCTTTAATTTTCAAATTGAAGAGGACTCAACAGCTACGCCTTAAAACTGTCGTATTTTTCGTCTTTTTGCAAGGAAAATTATGAAAAAACTTCAAGGAGCCATGTTGATTTATTCTCATTAAATAAAATAAAGTAGGAGCGGAGATTTAAACGAGTTACGTGGTTCGAGAGGTTCACCGTCGATGTGTCATGTCCCTGGAGGCCAATGGCAAGGCGTGAATGATCGATTTATCGATATTTCTCCATTTGAAGCCATGGTAAAGGCTCGATTATTAAGGTGATCGTTGCGAATACTCCGTTTATCGATCCTTTTCCATGGGTTTAAATCGCAGATCGCAAAGCACGCCACGCCACTACTGGGATCGAGGCCTCCCATTTTCAAAAGGACCCGATAAAATTACTTCAATCTCATGTTTTCTGCTCTTCCACAAGGCACTTTTTCGGTTTTTCCTCAATCTGCCACTTCCTCTTGAAAATCAAAAATGCTTGAATTTTTGTGCAAAAAAAAAAAATGAAAGCGAGTTCTATTTCTGTATGCTCTTTAATAAGATCATCAGTTTTGAATATGTGAATGTCCATCACATAACCACGCTGTTAATTAAGGGGAACCGAACGAAAAGCACAAAAAACCGTACATTTGTTTGTTTTGACTATCTGCAAACAAACCACTCAACATAACTTGAAATTACTCGTACCTCCAGAATACTGGCAACAGTTTGTGCAATCAGCATCCTGTGAGTCAAAACTCACAATTAACATTCTATCCCACCCTACTAATATTTAGATAGTGCGAAGCAAATGAAATCTACCTGCATTTCAACATGAGATGTGGTAATGCGCCATTCCTATACGATTGAGAGTTTTATGCTGAATGTACTTAGTTCTCTTTTACTCAAAGTCATCCTGTCGATTACACGCACTTCACTGAACACATTAGGACGTCCTCAACAGGAAATGGCCCCAAATAACGGGATGACAGACATCAAAAGAGCTTTATCGGGCATCTTATTTGCACTTTGAATGACAAGTACTTTGTCAATTACTCTCCTTTTTTCGGTACATGTAAAGGTGAAGCTAAGTGGTTTCATCATGCTCCTCTTGAGAAAGACTTTTGAAACAAGTGTACTTGAATCGCCTGTTTCGGAAAGTGCCTATCTTCGAAGGAAAGATAAAAAACATCAACGAATACAGAAAGAAAGAAGAAAAAAAACTTAAATCAATCGAAGATTTTTGGGGAATGGAAAATAAGTTTGGCGGTGCACGTAATAATCAGTTTAGAAAAAGAACCCCTTAGCTTTGTATATGGAACTTTTCGGTTCTTTAATGGTGCAACATAATCTTTCTGAAACCTCAAAGTTAGGATTTTAGTACGAATGTGGGGGATGAAATAGCTACTTACTTGCGGAAATTCCTCAGTTTAAGAATACTCGTCACCCAGATCCGTCCCTCTTTAAAATTCAGCATTGAGCACGATTTAGACTCTTTTATTTAGTTGAGCAACCCCATTGATCATGTAAAGTTACTCTCGCAATTTACCTTCCAATACTGTCCTATCTAGTGAATGGCTAGCACAGTGTAGCAGCACAATTTCTTTCTCATCGGAAATGAACCTCTATGTCTCGCTTAACCATAATAGTACTTATCCGTGCACAGGAAAATGGATGACCTCTACGTTGTCACTAAAATGAGCCGTCAATATGCGTTTCTCTTAGCAAAATCTAGTCTAGATTATCAATATCATCATTCATTGTTTACACACTTAAACATTTTTTTCAAAACATTTAAACGGGCAGGATCCAGTGTTACCAACTTGCTAGAATCGCTACCGGTCCGATTTTTCTTCCTCATTCCTCTCTCCAGCACCGCGGCTCTCGCAGACGGCATACGAAAAGTTCGTAAGTACGGAACATGCTCATTTTCTCGGTTGCCATCGATTCTAATTTCGAAGAGGGAACATGCTTCCAAATCGCCTGTTCCAATCTGGGACGCGGCGGAATTGTGATAACGCTAGCGCATTCTTCCTCTCAGACCATTCGTCGTTTAATGGGCACTAAATCCCGTCCTGGGTTACACACAGATCACCGATTATGTTGTAGTTGTATCGCCTCCTCTGCCCGGCACGAGCGCGGCGAACCGGATGCCACATTTGTTTTGATTCCCTGCAATAGTAGATTCCCTCTACTAGGTCAACTTCCTGTACTCTTTGTCACAAAAAAACGTCGGTAGAACGAAAGTAACTTGCTTAATTCCTCTAGTATTTTAAAACCAAGGTTCCCGCGGTCAGGGAATGCCGGGAAATATCAGGGAATTTTAAAAATCGGGGAAAACCTGGAAATCTTTGAGAAAATGACGAAAGTGTCAGGTAAAAATTCATAAGTCACCTTTATTTGTTTTCCAGAATGGGTTTGACATTTCGAACAACAGATTTTGCGAGAAAAATATTTCAAAATACGTATTTTTAATCGTCTGGCATAACCATACAATTGTCGGGGAATTCTACTAAAATGTGTTAGAGAAATCAGGGAAATTTGATTTTCTAAATTTTATAGCAACCCTCCAAAGTACTTAATGAACTAATTATACTTAATTTTGTGAGTCAAAGTTGGATAGTAAGGCATTTTCTTCTATGTGAGAGTGTCGATGAGAAAAAAGCTTTCCTTCTGAAGGCCGGGGCATGGAAAACCAGCCTCAGTATATTTTCTTCGCGGTTTTTTTATCATTTGAGATCCTTGATTTTTACACGATATTTGCAACAACAGAAATGTATAGGTCACACTAACATTTCTTCCAACCCCCCAAATTCGTAAATTTATTTTTTAGATCCAAGTGAGCTTAACCAACGGGTCAAATGAAGGCGGTATATTTTAGAAGTGCTCGCATCGACATCATCCATCTATCAGCATATGACATATCGTATGCTCAACAAGTTGTCATCGATAATCAGACAAAAAGTAACGTTGACCTTTGAAGTCAATGATTGCCGAACCTAATTACTTTGCTCAGATTCTTTGTGCGGGGTGTCGATTTTATATTTTCTTGGAGATCAATCGGGCCGTTGTCTTAGATTTTTCGGCGGCTCACATTAGAAAATCTTTCGACGAGCATGCTATTTAGCCCTCGGGGGTTGACCGTACCAGGCGAGGGGTCCAACATCCTAGTTCACCACACCATTTAGCGGGTTCAAAAATGCCTTCCTTGGTGGATCTGGCGGCGACGGATAGGAGGCTAGTGGAAAACCGCCTGAAACGAAATTGAAGGTACGCCGAGTCATAAACTGATCGAGTGATAGATGAAGAATTGGAGCTGTGGCCGAAGATGCATCACCCTCCCCCCCCCCCCCCCTCCACCCCGCACTTCTTACACCACCCCTTAGTCCATCGTATTCCATAATTCTTGAACTTGAGACTCGAGCCGGCGGTCGAGCACTGTCGTGCTAAGGAAAAACGCCGTATGAGCCTTCAGGCGTTGCCAAATTTCCTTTGACAAATCACGAATTTTTGGAAATACTTTTAAACATTTTTCTTCCGATTTTTTTAAGAATTTCCGTCGTACTTTGATTTAAATAGTCTGAAAATTTCAAGGATAAATATTCATTATTTTCTTCAAGAATGAATATCCTCTGAGACGAAATTTGGCAACATTCAAATATTCATACGGCGTTTTTTCTTAGCACGGCAGTGTAGTCCATGGCAGGATGTTGCTGTCAGGTCCCCTCTGTCCATCTTCGTCAGTTTACTCTTACGAAACCGAGGAGACTTCTACACTTTAAACATAAGAAGATCATCGATGCGCTCTCTTCAAAATTGACGCGTAGATGACGTCATTTAGGGTGTCTACAGGCCCTGAAAGTCCTGAAAAAGTGGGTCCTTTCATGCCAAATCAGATTGGTGATTTGACCTCATGGATGTTGGTCTCGGTGTATTCGAAAGTGCTTTTTATTAATGTGAAGATTAATGAATACCAAACTTTCTATGATTTTAGTTGAATGTAAAAAGTGTGTTTCTTTTCGCGTTTTTAAAGTTTTTTAACACCTGTGTCGTTTTATTTGTTTCTCAGGTTCGTGGTATGAACAAGCTTGTTGGCTCGGCAAGGTTGTAGAGAACGGGCGGCCCAACCTTAAACAGGTAATTACCGAATTCCATTTTCTTTTTAACTACTTTTTAAGCCCTCTAATAACTCCTCATTTTTCAATTTTCTCGTTATAGTTCATTTCTAATCATTCAGAAAAATCGAATGAAGCACGTTTCTTTACATGATATTGAATATTCATCAGGGGGGACGAAATTCCTTTCTTCTAACGCATCGCATCGCATCGCATCGCATCGCATCGCATCGCATCGCATCGCATCGCATCGCCACTCGGTAACTATCTAAAACCGCAAATTCCCAAAAGCGCAAAAACGGTAGTCCATAAGCGCAAAGACGCGCAACTCAAAAGCGCAAATTTTAAGACCGAGTTGTCGTCCAAAAGCGCAAACCTTGATAAAGAGGAGAAAGCAAAGACAAGAGAAAACTCACCAAGAGGCAGAGAAGAAGGATGCTAGGAGAAGAGGAGAATGCCTGGATCCAGCAACTTAGTTGTCGAGTCGTTGGAGACCAAACGCGTCAATAATTTAAAATTGTTCTTAAAAACGTATTAAAACTTCGGTAAAAATTGATTAAAATTGATTGAGAACCTTAGATGAACTGTGCTTGAAATTTGAAACCAACTGCTTTCAAATGATCTCGAATAGTATAGTCGGGATCATTGTGAAGTAAAAAGTATTGTCGTCGAACAAGGTTTGTTTATCTACTTCCGGTTGGAAAATTTTGGGAGTATGGACACTTCTCATATGGATATAAATTTCAGCCTGAAGGTCGCGTAAGGCTTCGACGAACAGATGGATACTCGGGTGTTGATTGTGGAAGCAAGCTTTAAAGCTGCGGTGAAATATGTCTGCGCCGTTTGTTGTACGCGGGTCGTGTGTCGGAGCTTCAGCCCAAATTTCCTGAGGAAAATTCCAGATAAAATGTAATTATTCATAACATATGTGTGTGGAAGGCGGAGACTGCTTTGTTTGGTGTAGCAATGCTCACTAAAAAACAGAAAGCATCGATAACTTACGGGGGCGATAAAAAAGCCAAGCCAAAGAACATTTTTAGCCATTTACCGATTTCGGTGTTTTTCTTATATTCAGTTTTCAGCCCCAATTTTCCTATTTTCCTATACCAGCACTGTCCCTAATGGAGCCAGCAACCGCGAATGATAGTGTTTGGGAATATCGACTGAACTGCCTGGTGAGCTGCAAGTTCATAGTCCAGGAAAATAGTAGTAGGATAAAATCTACCTCTCGTCAGTCGCACTACAAACTGCCGCATGTTCTCGTAACGAAGACGGCTTTTCATTGGCAGACGAAAAAAAGCGGCTTTTATATAGTGTCCATTCACAAACGCGTGCACCGTGTATACTTGGTAAAAAAAAAACTTCGTCGTCATATAGACGGCTCCGTCGGCCAAAACATAACTATTGTTTTCTGTCAAAAACTTGAGATTAGCACCACACGTAATAATGATTCCTTCTCCTCAACTTCTGCCTCTTCTCTCCTTTCTCCGTATCTCTCTCTCCCGCACTAAAACCATACCACCATACGCGCAAACGAGCCACCACCCAAAAGCGCAAATGGACGATTTGCGCATTGGGTGTTATGCGCTTTTGGAAATTTGCGCTTTTGGGTGTCTTCGCGCCACTCAGCCTTCGGCACCAGGGACAGTTCATCTCGATGAAGACAAGCTTTTCTGTCGTGCTAAAAGGAAGAACGCCGTATGAACATTCAAGAGTTTCCAAATTTTCCTTGATAAAACATGTATTTTTAACGAAGTTTATGCATATTTCTCATAGAAATTTTCAGATATTGTAGATTAAATTACGTTCAAAATTGTGTGAACATTTTGGTGAAACTATTCACAATTTTCCTAGTAATTTCGGTTTTCAGTGAAGGTAATTTGACAACGTCTGAAGGCTCTTACGGCGTTCTTCCTTAGCACGGCAGTATTTCTGTCGGAACATGCGCTAAAGCGACACGATCACTCATCTTTTACGAGCCGAAGGGCCGACTTCTTTCGCGAAGAGCTCGGTCCCCGCCTCGGGGTTTTATGGCCGCTTAAGCGAAAACATCGTATCAACCTAAGATTTTCACTGGAGTAGCGCGGGATTACACCGGCAGAACTGAACGACGACAACAGCGCTAATGGCATTTTTACAGTTTTGCGGAAATCCAGCGGAACTCCCAACCGCCGAGTTTCGGATGCGTCGGCTCCTGAACTACCGCTCTAAGGAGGAACGACGTATGAGCACTTGAAAGTTGCCGACACGTTTTTAAAGTCCATATGAAACAATCGATGTCACTAGGGAATAGTGAATTTCCAGAAAATTTGAGACTTTTTTCCGTGAAATGTTCAGGCACCTATAAGACACAAGACAGGGTGTCTACAAGTCCAGAATTTCTGGAAAGTCCGGAAATAGTACTGATTTTTTAAGGGCGGTCCGGAAGTAGTAAAAAAATGCGGAAATTCCGCAAAAAGGCCCGGAATTTTTTTGAATTTTGTGTCATTTTTGTCACAATTTCAAATATTTGAAAGTTTTCTAATTTCGTCCTATGGAGGTACTAAAAAAGTATACGGAATTTTTCTGTTGGATGAGGTACTGAATTTCTCGAGAATGTACTAATCAGTACTGTAAAAGTACTTATTTTTGACCAGCCTGTTTTAGTAGACACCCTTAAGGATTAAATTGCAAATCTCTAATAAATGTAAAGAAAGAAAATTTATCAATTTTTCCGAAAAAGTCGTCATTTTTTTTAAAAAAGAAAGTTGGCAACGGTCCAATGTACGTATACGGTGTTCTTCCTTAGCACGGCAGTAAATCTCCCACGTTTTACTCCTAAGACGAGAATTGTCTCAGAGAATCTGACAACAGCTCGGAGTGCACTTCAAGCCCGACTGCGGTGTCCCGAACAATTTTTACAGCGGGAAACGTTCACAAGTTTCGATGGGATTTTCCAGCGCGTCTTCCTCGCTAAATCTGGCAGAAATTTGAATTTATAGTCGTTGAGATAGAGATTCCTACCGTACTTCTATCAGCATCCGCGGCAGAGAAAGGGGGTTTCGCTCTCAGGATTGAATTATTCTTCAAGTATGGATGCCTCTCAAGATTGTCGTTGTTCTCGTCAATCTTCGTGTTCGAAAATGTAAAAATATGTATGAAAAAAAGGATCAGTAGAATAATAGTACAGTTGAATCAAAATAAGGTTTCGTCGGTTTGGAAAAATCAGGAAAATAGAGAGCTGGGAAAGTCAAAAGGGATTCCTTAGGAAAAGACAGGGAATTTTGAAAAAAGCGCATCAGCTCAGCGACTTTGTTGGCGTCCCTCAAGAGACCGCCAACTACATCGAGTGCCTTCCCCATAATTTAAATCTGCAGAAATCGATATTTCTTCCAAAATTTTGCGGCGAATGAACAAAGAATGTCAGTTTGCCTTCAATTTTTAGAGTATGCAACATGGATATCCACCGACCACGTATATATGTAGTTGCACCCAGGCGTTCCCTTAATTTTCGCGTGTTCCTTTAAGCGTGACGTGACGCAAGACAGTTTGCCTTCAATTTTTAGAGTATGCAGCACGCACATCCACCGAGCACATATAGTCGCATTCACAAGTTATCATCATCCTTGCGTGTTCCCAAGAAATAGCCTCAATTAGAGTACCTTTTTAGGCAGAGTATGGCCATTCGTATCTTTTTACTACAGGAAAACTGTGCCGCTTTTTGATTGGTCAACGAGTTTTTAGGCTTCATGATGCTCTTACGGCCGTAAATAAACAAACAAGATGGCGGCTCACCGTAACATTGATAAAAAGCTAAATTCGAGAAAAATTTCAATTACACGGCAGTAACAATTTAAACTAGCATATCTACGAATAACACACGAAAAACACATGAAAACATTGTTAAATCGCCTTTCACCTATATCACAGGAGGATGTAAGATGTGCATAACCTCAATCTTGCTTGCTGATAACAGTCATCTTGTTTCTTTATTTACGGCCGTAAGAACATCGTGTCAGCTTATTTTCACGCGACCAATGAAAAACCGGAACAGAAATGGCCATACTCTGTCTATAAAGGCACTCTAGCTTCCATGATATCTACAGTTTTTGCTCTTGCGGTCATTTTGCAAACTCTGTTTGCCTTTGAGCACACGGCAGCACAGTCGGACTGCATTTTGCAATGAGGAACTATTATTTCCACCTCACTTTAGAAACAGCGGATGTGCCACTATAGTTTTCACATGCAGATAAATGGTTTTACAAACGAGTCAGAACTGTATAATCCCTAATTGCAAAATGAAGTCCAGTTACGGTCTCCCTGCCTTCACGCCAAATGGACAACATTTTGCAATTCGGAACTACACTTTCTGGCTCAGTTTAGAAACATCGTATGTATATCATTAGTTTCCATATGCAGGTAAGTGATTTTATACATGAGTCAGATATTGTAGTTCCTAATTGCAACATGCAGTAAAGATGGAACCTTGCGGTCCGTTTGGTTCCAAACCTGTATCGTTACAACTTTTTCCAACCGAAAATTAATTGCAGCCGAGTGGCTGTGGGGAAAATGTCATCACACTTGGAGGGAATGAATAACGTGGCGGGAGTAGGGATGATGGTCGGGGGGAAGTGCAAAAATAAATGGGTGTTGTTGGGAAGTGTTCCTCGGTCGGGCCAACTCCTAAGTGGTTTTTCGTCGTGCGACGCGGGACGCGAATGATTTCCTGATTTCTGCTACAAAATAACCGGGCTCTCCCAACTTTCGCCGATATTTCACCGTCGATTAAATAACTTGCGACGAAATTTTCGAGTCTCCCTCGCCCCTTTTCGGTCTCGCCGTGCTTTGCCCGAGCCATCGTTTGTCTTTAAAGTGCTGCTGGTGCGTTGCTTAGCGGGCTCTTATTTCGCGGTGTTCTTGCTGGCGTGAATATTGCAAAAACTCGGAAGAGTATCACCTGAAGGGAACTCTCTCAGGTAAATATAAGAGTTTTTTTCTTAATTCTTCTCGTTTGTCAGAAGGTGTTCTTTTATCATAATCGAA